CAAAAAGCCGTTAATTGATTGCATTTTAGTCATTATTGATTACTTCCGTTCCGTGCTAAAAGCTGCAGCGATCCGTCATAGGAGGCGAAAGCGTGAAATTGTTTGAGCCCTCAGCATGTCTGGGAGATATTTAAGTGGCACCTTGCGTTCACATTTGCCAAATGAAAGGACGGCGCAGGATTTGGGGTGTCCTTTCGGCAGGGGAGGGGGCTGGCGGTGTGGGGGAGGGGGCATGTAGTGACAAGGGGGGGGAAGTCCCCCCACCGGCAATCTTTTCTCTCTCGGATCAGATGCCCTGTTTGCACACTTAAACAAGGAGAGCGCTGGGGGCTTCACTGCAGAAACGTAACGGGGATAGTGTAAGCCAGCAGGTTAATAACAGATGTTTCTAGGGCTGTTACAAATCCGCAGTCAGTATAAATATGCATGAGTGATTTGGAAAGGAGGTTTAAAAACGCAGATGGGGAGGTGGCATTGTGCTGCAAGGGGAGGCAAACGATGTAAATACAGTCCCTGTAAATGACATGGGAAAGTTACTTTTTCAAAAGTAACTCCTGAAAGAGCAGGAGAAACTCTCCTCTCCTAGGAGATGGCACCAAACTCCTGGATCTCTCCCCCCCTTCTTGCTCGCTGCCCCCACCGCCCTGCCGGGAATGGCTGGAGGGCTGCAGGGGAATGGTTCAGAAAGGGGGACAAACTTAGCTGCGGGTTTTGCAAAGTTTTCCTCTATCCTGTCTTTCCCCCCAGTTCCTGATGACCACCAATTCCTTGACTACTTGCTGCGAGTCTAGTGGCAGGACTCTGACAGAGTCGGGGGCTGCCGCCTCGGCTCAGACCCCGGTCTATTGTCCTGTATACGAAAGCCGACTGCTGGCTACAGCCAGACATGAGCTCAATTCTGCGGCTGCCTTAGGAGTCTATGGAAACCCTTACACAAGCACCCAGGGCTATGGAAACTACGTTACCTATGGCACTGAAGCCTCTGCCTTCTATTCCCTGGTAAGCAAGCCTGCAATCTTTCTTGTTACTCATTAGTAAAAACAAATCTCAGCTCAAAAGATAAGGGGAAATCTGTCTCCTCGCTCCTTGGCGGGGGTGAGTCCACCCCGGAGGGAAGCTGCGTCCTGCCCTTTCTTCTGAGTCGGAGTCGCCCCCCCCCCCC